ACTCGACATTTTCGTCACAAATATTGATGCACAAAACGTTGAATCGGGTGTCATCACGGCTCAGGTCAGCGACCACTTGCCCATATTTCTCGATGTGAATTCATCTATGTTGCCCTTGCATCCTTCTGCAGATCCGCACTACACATTTCAAGATATTAACCCATTCACTCTTGATAAATTCCGTGACGAAATCTCGCGCATAAGCTGGCAAGACGTGTACGACGAAAGCGACTGCGACAAAGCGTACGAGTTGTTTTTATCCGCATTTAAGAACGCTTACGCAAAATCATTCAAGCGTAAAACAAAAAAAGCCAGAAAAGCAAGAAAGCCATGGATTAATGACAGTGCGTTGAAATTGATAAAGCAAAAAGATGCTCTTTTTAAACAGTTCTTAAGGACAAGAGACGCAGTAGTTTTAGCCGCGTTTAAAAAACTCCGGAATAAAGTTAATGGGTTCCTAAGGGCAGCAAAGACACAGTACTTCGAGAAATTGTTCCCTGCCGAAACGATAATGCGAACCGATGTCACATGGAGAAAGCTAAATAGTTTACTGCATGGAAACCAACAGGCAGATAATCTAGAGGAATTAACAGTAGACAGTGAGCTCATTTCAGGCACGGCCTTAGCTGACGCTTTTAACAACTATTTTGTGTCACTTGTAAATAGCTCCTATGATCCCCAATGCATAAAATATTTAAAACCCAAAATCGTTCACAGTGCATTCCTAAACCCGACAGACACTCAAGAGATACAAAGCATGTTTCGCAGTATTCGGAATAGTAAAAGCTGCGATATCGATGACCTGCAGATTCGCCCAGCAAAGCATGTACTAGATCTAATCGGTCCTGTCTTGGAGCACGTGTACAATCTTTCGCTGGCGAACGGCACATTTCCAAGACGCATGCAAATCGCGAAGGTAACAGCACTTTTCAAATCTGGCGACAAAAACAAGTTCTCGAACTATAGACCAATATCAATTCTGCCTATTTTTTCTAAATGTCTCGAGAAGCTGATAAATGTAAGAATAACCTCATTCTGTAACAAGCACAATCTTCTTACAGATTTTCAATTTGGATTTAGAAAAGGTCGCTCAACTGAATTAGCATTATTGACCCAAAAAGAAATAATTCTGCAAGGCTTTGAAGAAAATTTGGTTACCCTTGGCATATTCATTGATTTTTCAAAGGCCTTCGATACCATCAATCACAACACTTTACTAACAAACTTGATATTTACGGCTTTAGAGGAACATTTCTGAAATTAATTAGAAGTTATCTGCAGTATAGGTATCAAACTGTTGTTATAGGCAATCACTATTCAAAAAATTTACCGATACGTGCTGGGGTCCCGCAAGGAAGCATACTTGGACCACTATTGTTCAACATTTACATAAATGATTTAACGAATATTAAGACTACGGCGCGATTTGTTATCTATGCGGACGACACTAGTTTATTTATCACTTCTAGAAACGTTGCCGAACTCATCAGCACTGCCAATGATACTCTAGAACAAATAAACAAATGGAGTTTATCAAACTCGCTAACTATTAATGCTGCCAAAACAAAAGGCGTGCTTTTTCAACCAAAGAATAAAAAACAAGTAGTCCATGGATGTCTCCAGATAGGAACTTCCGGGATAGAAGTAGTACCTTCAGTCAAAAGTTTAGGCGTCATTTTTCAGGAAAACATGTTATGGAATGAACATGTCAACACTATTGCCAATAAGCTTGCTCGAGTCACAGGTATACTAGTAAGATTACGCCTCTTGCTGCCATTGAAAGTGAAGCTCTTACTTTATAATTCTCTTTTTCTATCACATATCAATTATTGTCATCTCGTATGGGGCAACACAACCAGCTCAAACATCAACATTTTATTCCTTTTGCAAAAGATAGCCGTTCGAACGATTTTAAATGCTCCATTCGATGCACACACGGACCCTATTTTTGACCAGTTAAATATCATACCATTAAAGGCAGTGTACAATACAATTTTGCAAAAAACGGTTTTTAATAGAAAGAAAGAATAGCATGGGTTTTCTAGAGCAATTGTCAAGGCTCACATTAAATTCAAGCACGTTCAGTACACGTCACAAAGAAACCTGGCATGTTCCACATTGTAGAACAAATTATGGAAAACAAATGCTACGTCATGCCTTACCATCTTTGCTAAACTCTCTTCATTAACTGCCATATTTCCCCTCCCGAAGGATCTGGATGTGCCGATCATACATCTTATTCGCTATTGTGTTTTAAATGAACATGCATTTTATGTTAAAAGTACAAGGCGAAGCGTTTTTGAACTTTTGTATATTCATTAGTGAATACTTCTTATGCTCGTATGTTTACTATGTATTTTTGTGTATTTTTGTGTTGAAGGTGTATAGCGACGCGTTTCAAACTTTGTATATAAATTTGTTCATTGTTTTCGGATGCAAGTGTTTTAAATTATCTCTATTTCTTACTGTGCGTGTGTGTACATGAATCTGTTCTTGCATTGCATTTTTGATCTTGCCCGCCAACTGTTTGTTGCGAAAAAAAAAAGGGGCACAGACCTCGTCAAGCCGTAATGTGGCTTTTAGATGCGGAGCATCTTATACTCGCGCCTTGTAGTGCGCCGTCCGCGCCGTCCGCGCCGTCCGCACCGCTTCTCGAACATTCGACAGCTGACGCGCGCGCATGCGCCGTCGCGCCGTCGCCCACTCTTCCACCATCTGTGCATCCCTTCCTCCTCTACACACCGCGCGCGCTTCACTCCTCCACCATCTGTGCACCCTTCCTCCTCTACACACCGCGTTCGACATCTACAATTCTCCTGATTCTCCAGTGGACGCGCATGTGGCGTCGCGCTTCGAGAACATTCAACAGCTGACAGTGCATGCGCCGTCGTGCTGTATATATACTCAAGGTCGGCGCTCGCTCGCTCAGTTGCCGCTCGTCGGTTGGTTTGTACGGCGCGTCGACGTCCAAGGTCGCGGTGAAATGAATTCCAACGAATCCACAAACACAATGATCGACGTCCCTTCGACCAGCGCCGCCCTTTCGCATACGTGTGTACGTGTTCACTCATTTAACACCCCCTCCTACAACCACGTTAACCAATTTAGCCATCGACCCAAGTAAGTCGCAATTTAACACCCCATTTCACAACCACGTTAACCAATTTAGCCATCGACCCAAGTAAGTCGCACTTTAACACCCCGTTAACCAATTATATGGTCCGCATCCTCCTCAGTGTTCCCCCGAGGGAAGCTGCGGGCAATTTTTTGTCTGTGTCCCCGTTATCTGTACAATGTATAGATGCGAAATAAAGTTCAAGTTCAAGTTCATTGTATTCATGGCACTGTGGCTCAACGCTCGCTAAACCTTTCTAAAGCTAAGGAGGTTACAGCCAGCGAGTATAACGTAGCAACCCTTTCTTGTCAGATAGTGCTCAATGTACATGCCAATGGCTGCTAATGGTGATCGCAGCGTGCGCGTTAACTAAAAGCCGAATGCTTCTGTCTCTCATTCCCCATTAGCAGCCATTGACATGTACATTGAGCACTATTTTTTATTGTTCAACAACGCACAGAAGAAGTCTCTCACCGGCACCACCTTGGAGGTCAAAATGTTATACTTGTTACATACTACGGGGGACGAACGGGTGCCGCTATAAGAAGCTTTGCCCCTAAAAAATTGACCCCGTATCGGTATGTAATCTGCAAATGCCGACGAAAGACGATAGTCTTGCGTGTGGAGAGATTGACCAATTAATTTGATGTTCCGCGCAAGAAAATCGGTGAATGGTATTTTAGAGGCACTGCGTTAGAGTGCCTCGAGCGTGAAGCGGAGGCGAGCGAGCGCATCAAGTCACATCACACGTGAGACATGAGCGCCACTTGGCAGTCTTCTTGCAAAGCGAAGCGCGTGGCTCTGAGACGGGTGTGCACGCACGTCTCAGAGCTGATAAGGTGAGGAACGCAAGGCGACGGGTACGTGTCACTACCATCGCGTTTTAGCAAAGCGTTGGAAACACTCATCTTTTCGGGCAAGCGTTGCATGGTCAGCGCAGCGTGATAAGCGATACGGTCCTTAAAATTACTTATTTATGCATTTTCTAGTAAAAATGCACATGCAGAATGTATACGTGTTGTTAGGTGCCCCAGACTAGCGCAATAATTGCTTATTAATTGACAATTGTACAAGTATGAACGCTAAACCTTAAGCAACATTTGGTGGGCGCTGCAGATGATATCGGCCGTTTTAAGTACCCAGTGCCGATAAAAGTAGACAGACAGACAGACAGACAGACAGACAGACAGACAGACAGACAGACAGACAGACAGACAGACAGACAGACAGACAGACAGACAGACAGACAGACAGACAGACAGACCAAATTTTTTGCGTCGGAGGTCCCCAAGAAAGTTCCTTCCATTCTTTTCCCCTTTTTTGTTTCCTTCTTCCTTTCTTCCATTCTTTTTTTCCTTTCCTTCTTTCTTTCTTATTTCATTATTTATTTACTTATTTATTTCTATCACATTGCGCATTGCTTCCTCCTATATATTTTCTTCCTCCATGCCCGGCATTTGGCCTTCACCGACGCGCTTCGCAGTGAAATAATTTTGTTGCTATACAAGCAACAACGGCAGTCATGCGTTTATATCTAGACATCAATAGAATATGTCAACGTGAAACGACAAGTGACCTCGACAAAAGACCGCATCGCCATATCAGAAACTTTCGATGAGCGTCAAGTCCACGATCGAGAGGGCATCAATAATTCAATATCAGCGCATAAAATGCGCACGTGACCGACGCACCTTCGACCGCGTATACGCTCGCCGGTGCCAGCACAGCCGCCGCTACCGAAATACGTAACCCACATCAAGGTTAGCACGAAAAAAAGAAAAGCCGGTTCGCCCGAGAGGTATGACCACACGCATTAACCCCGTTCAACCACTGACCGAAACGCGCCCACCAACACGTCACAAAGAGAGGAGCAAGCGTGACTCACGCGATGGCCTCGATCATGTCGAGTCCCATCTCGACGCAGCACTGGGCGTGGTCAGGCCGCGGGTCCGGCAGTCCCGAGACGCAGTAGTAGCAGTCGCCGAGAATCTTGATGCGCAGGCAGTGATTCTCGGCCGCAAGCTTGTCGAAGCGCGCGAACAGCTCGTTCAGCATGCGAACCACTTCCTCGGCCGTGCACTGAGACGCCAGGCTCGTGAAGCCGCAGATGTCGGCAAACAGGATGCTGCAGAAGGGAAAATAAACAGAGGGCCGGTTGGTGTCACGGTAATTGAGTGAACGTTACAGAAACCGACAGGGTTGAAAAATGGTCCGTAACTCGACCTCGCCGCCACAAATAAGGCGTGCTTACATAGATTATTAGGTTCGCAATTGACCTAATTTGCAAAACCCTTCAGGAGTGAGCGAAAGCCAGACCTGTCCGTGGACTGGATATGATCCCCAGAGGGGGCGCGTGATGCTGTCATTGTCCATCCGTCTATGTCGCTCCACAACTTAACGCTGCTGTGTCGCTGTTTGAAACTGAACGAAAACATGGGATCTACACAAGCAACTACAAGTGGGCTGTCGGACACATAGAATATTAACGCAAAAAGTGTCTTACGCCCTAAACAGATTGATGCGTACAGGATAACAGCGGCCGACCAGTCGCGACTGGAAACGTATGACATAATGCCAACAAAAAAATGTAATAGAGTTTGAGTGAATGGTGGGGACCGAAAGTGGCTTCCTTACATTGCCCTTGCATTCGTTCGCATTCTCCTTAGGTGGAGCTTAAAGTACCGAAGAACGCAAGCAAGCCGCTTGGGGTATCCGGCACTAAGATCCTCTAATATGAAGAAAATGACCGGACAAGAGGAAATAGTTATTATTATTCTGATAGCAATTATATGGAAACCCTCGGCTGGATTTTGCCGCCGGTGTCGATGTCGGCATCGCCGTCATTGATCGTATATGTACACGTATCCGCATACATGAAAACAGAAGAAAAAAATCCAGAAAAATACTCCGGTGCGCTGAACCGAACGTGCGACCTCTGAATTGTGAGTGCGAGGCGTTAGCCACTGAGCCACGAAGGAGGACCTCCTTCGGCGTTAAAACGGCAAGCTATTTATATCTATCATTTGCCGCTCGCGATGGGCATCGCGGAGAGAACTATCGTGTTTTCAGCATCTGCAGCGAGATGGCGCATTGAGCGCGCGTCGCCTAAAGCCCCTGGATATTTTTAGGTAAGTACCACCATTGATTTACCCGACCCGCCGCGCAACGCATACTCCTCTCCCGCTCTCGCCTCTCGGGTCGCGACGAGCATCACGCGTGTTATATCAGCGTGACATAGCATTCTTGACAATACAGTGGCCCAAGCCGGGTGATAGGGCCTGCGCCCGCACGGTGGCTGTTCGGAAGAGGATATGGATTAGGTTTGGACACTTGTGAGAGGAGCGTTGGACACCTCGGAAAGGATATAAAGGGGAGTGTCGCTACTTTCTCTATAATAAAGGGTTTTAGCGTCGCCAGATCATCAAGACGCGGCGGCGCGCGCTCTCATCTCCCACGCGTATTTACCACGCGGTAGGGGACGCTCACACGCGTGTGCTCGCTTATCTCGCCGTGGGTACAATCGTACGCCTTGGGCTTTCACCAGAACGATTCTGTTGTAGTTACCGGGCGCATAATGGTCAATGCACTCGTGGCACAGTCTCCAGTTGCGAAAAGGGCGCACTTTTCAGACACAGCGAAGTAACAACTGCGACACTTATTCGCGTTCATCTGCAGCCTGTGAGTACGTTTCGTGCGTCATTTGCGCGTGAGAAACGCGGGGCATGTTTTCATCTGCCTGCCATTCTTCGTGTGACCTTCCAATTTGTTGCTGTCAAGTTCATTGCTTCGCCTTTGCGGCAGAGCTGTGAGCTTTTCTTATAAAATAACAGCTTTATCGATGCGCCATAAGCACACTCAAACTTGCTCCAGATAGGTAAGTACTTTGAAGCAACTTCAACAGTGACGACTACAACTGCAACTGGAATGACACACACATTATACTCATAATCATATCGTGGTTTTGGGACGTTAAATCCCAAAATCAATCAATACCTTAAAAAAAAAAGACTCCTCTCTCTAGTTTCCTGCGCCACTCTCACATGCGCGCTATCCTTCCTGGATTATTCCGCATAATTAAACAAGGAAATGGCAACGTATATAGTATTGTGAAAATAGTAGGTTATCGCGTATGTTTTTTTTAATATTAGGTCTTGCGGAATGATTGTCTGTAGCGTTTCATTTCTCCTCAAGGTTAAATAAAAAAATGGCAGCATATCCACGGAGTGAATGATGGAGAGTGGGGCGAAGAATTCGTCCGTCCATTCGTTCTTGCTTCCGTCCGTCCATGCGTCCGTCAGTGTGACCGTCCATGCGTCCATCAGCCCGTCCGTGCGTGCGTCTGTTCGTGCGTCCGTCCCTGCGTTCGTCCATGCAGCCGCCCCTGCGTCCGTTCATGCGTCCATCCATGCATCTGTCTATGTGTCCGTTCGTCCATCTATTCAACACTCCAAGTACCACCATCTCGCATCTTTTCATCATATATTCCCCATATAGAAGCACCGCCATCCAGCGGACATTCCAAGGACTAAACGAGAGGTGGCACACGCACACTTTCTTACGGATTGCGCTTCGGGTCCACTTCCCACCTTTAACCACCTCGAGTTCATGGTATATACTAGTTCACTGTATTCATGGCACTGCGGCCGAACGCTCGCTAAACCTTTCGAAAACCAAGGAGGTTACGCCCAGCGAGTATGACGTAGCAAACTTTTTCAGTCAGATAGTGCTCAATGTACATGCCAATGGCTGCTAATGGGAAATGAGAGGCGGAGAATTCGGCTTTTACTTTCTTACGGCTTGCGCTTCGTATCTACTTCCCATTTTTAACCACCTCGAGTTCATTCATGGTATATACAAGTTCATTGTATTCATGGCACTGCGGCTCAACGCTCGCTAAACCTTTTTAACGCTAAGGAGGTTACACCCAGCGAGTACAACGTAGCAACCCTTTCTTGTCAGATAGTGCTCAATGTACATGCCAATGGCTGATAATGGTGATCGCAGCCTGCGCGTTGACTAAAAGCCGAATGCTCCTGTCTCTCATTCCACATTAGCAGCCATTGACATGTACATTCAGCACTATTTTTTATTGTTCAACAACGCACAGAAGAAGTCTCTCACCGGCACCACCTTGGAGGTCAAAATGTTATACTTGTTACATACTACGGGGGAGGAACGGGTGCCGCTATAAGGAGCTTCGCCCCTAAAATTACGGGACCCTAAAGCTTCGCCTTGATCTGAAAGCGATAGCGACTTCCTGTTGAGGCTCGTTTACATTGACCCGACGAGGGCGCGTTGAGTCGAAATAAACAGGCTTTCTGGACTCGCCCTCCCCATGTATAAGCGGACGCGTCGGGGCGGAGAGTCGTCGCGGCGAGTCCCGTCGACCCGGAGACAGGGGGTAGGTTCACCGAACTCGCCGCGCTCAGAAAGGGCATGTATAACCGGTCGCGCTGAGTTGACGGCTCGTGACCTCTCCCGCCCGTCGCGGTCTCCGCTTCCCCTGTCCCCATCACTCCGACGTGATGGGGACAGGGGAAGGGACCATCTGCGATTACACTATAAAAAGTAATGGTTGGTCACTTTACTACACTATTCATTTTTGGAACCAATTTTCTAAAGAAAATTTTAATTTCTTAAATATGGTGGCAGTTAGGTTGCGACGAAACTTCGAAAAAGTTAAATATTATACGCAGCACGGTAAAACGATTCCAGTCGGTAGGAAAAGAACCGCATTTCCTTGTTAAAACGCATTCACCACTAGTGTATGTTAATGTGCTTTGCGGGGCAGCAATGCAGTGTTCTTGACCAAAGTCAGAAATTTTTACACCTTTTCATCTTTTCCAGAGACAACGCAGCTGCATAGCTTGCTTGCATTGTTGACGGTAAGTGGGGGAAAAACACGAGTCGCGAAGACAGTAGTTTGGAATCGCTGGCACATGAACTTTGAAAAATTTGCAATATTGCTCATGTTCAGGCACTTATCGGTCTGTGTGGCGCTCCATATAAAAATATACACTTTGGATCATTTCAAAGGGCGCAGAAACGATATTTATTTCTGTAAGTTTAATACGAATCTTTGTTTTATGCGAGAAAATATTATTTATATTGAGCTGCCCCCAAGGCTGTCAACGGCGGACCGTAAGCGCACTTCACTGCACCGAGGGTTCCTCGGCAGCCTCCTAAATGCACCAAAGCCGGCTTGTTGATTCGTGCGCCATTTTCCTGTGCTTACCGCCAGTAATAGGAACAAATTATGCAGCTGCATTATCTCATAAAAAGTTGTATAAGAGCTGTAAAAAATGTTTAAATATCGCCCAAGAACAACGCATTGCTTCCCCTCAAACAACATCTTGAGACAACCTAGTAGCCGTGAACGTGTTGTGCCAAGGAAACGCTGTGTTCTTCCTACCCACGAGTTTTTTTCACAACCTAGTTATTGGGCGCTGCCACGATATTTAAATTGCTCTGAGAGTTAGAAAGAATTTCCTTCAAAAACTGGTCTCAAAACAAAAATGGAAGACGGGCTTTCGGCGAGCCGGAAGACGGGCTTTCGGCTCGCCTCGACGCAAAGCGTCGCTGCGATCACCGCTCACCTCAACTCGTCCGTGCGAGTTCATATAAACTCGGGTGCGTCGAGGTAAGCTGAACCCGCCACTCAACTCAGCCCGCCCCCGTCGCGTCCATGTACACGGGGCTTTGGTAGTGCGCTCTTAAAACACTTAGTGCATGAAACCTTTTCGAATTCGCTATGCATCCAATACGTTGCCTTAAGGGAATAGGCACAGTAGCGTGTGTGCCTTTTGTAGTGTGGTACCAGCTTTCAGCCATGGAGCCATTATGATAATCGCATATTATGACGCCCGTTGGCAATTAACGCTTGACCACGCGTTATTACTGAAATATTTCATGTTGCGTTGTGAAACATATATACAGGACGCGTGTGTTTGGGAAGCATGAAAGCTACTTTCACTGCATTTACAAGCAGGGGAAGTTCTTTTCGCTGGTTTCGCAAGCAGATGGCATGGCCGTGTAGTGGAACATACGCTTGCCACGCAAACGACCCGGTTTCGATGCCCACTCGGAACCCAAATACCATGGCTTGGTCCCCATTCTGCTTGAGGGGTTTTTATCATTTATTTAATTCATTTACATCGTTCTCAATTTTTCGGTCATGCATGCTTAGAATGATGATTTTTCGCTCACAACCATTGACGCCGACGCTGACACCGGAATTTTCGCGAAACGAGCTCTTCAGCGCTATCGCGTTACTAAACACCGCCTACGATGTGCAGTTTCCTGAAGCCGCGTGTTTGAGCTTTTACAGCTCCCGGAAGGAACCAAGTTAATATAATAATTTGTACATTATAAAAAGAAGAGAGACGAACAACAGCTTGTTTTGCGTACTCGCCGAAACACACAAAAAAAACTACAGGACGTATTCTAAGGAACCACTCCTCTGGAAGGCCTAGCTCCAGCAAGTAAAGGTCGACAGAAAGGTCAAGCGCGCAGCTGCAGGAAAAACGTCTGAGTGGCACTTTTAACATCACGAGCCGCAGCTAGCTAGTCGCCCGCCGTGTATGAAATGCGTCGGCGGCATATATTGCATGTGCGCGAGCATTTCACGTGCTTCGCGTGCAAAACCTCTCGAGCCCGGCCCAGCTATACCGCATACAGACACATAACCACATTGACAGAGTTAGCGTGTTTTGCATATGCTGAGTATGTCGGTTGACAGTCGGCAGTCTCGGAAAATCCTCGTGAGTTATAGTTCGGTGAGTTTGAGTCCGAGTGAGCCAGAGTTAGTGACATCTTGCTGACTAAGTTCGAGTGAGCTCTAACTTCGATATATGTTTCTTTAGCGAGTCTAATTGAGCTCCATGTTTTCTGTTTTTTTTTTCGCCTAGCTATATGTGTAGGTAGCAGGCAAGAAACGACGATGAAGGCCGGAAAAAGAAGAAAAGCGATGTTTAATGAAGAAAAAAGGAGGAAAACGTCGGCATGGAAAGCACGTCTCAAGACTGCTGCTCCTCACCGGGGTAAAGGGAGACACGAAGACAGATACACAGAGCTGACCTACACAAAACGAAGCCACAAAGTCTTGCCCAACCATCGACGAACGAAACAAGCATTCCGACGAACACCTGCCAAGTTGAGCTCTAGCAATGTTAGCGTGAGAAATTCGCGAAATGCGCCTATAATAGGTTAAGAAATCAGATTTATCAGACTCGACGGTGCCGCAGGGGTCGCTGCCCGCAGACGGTACTTTGTTCGTCATCTTTATATTCCTTTCCCATCGATATATTCCCTGCAAAAAGTCAATGTTATAGATAACATCGCAGTGCCGGCCCCTAGTAGCGTTAGCCCAGCCAATATAGCCAAGCTGAAATGCATTGAATTGGCGTATATGCAAAGCTTGTGTGAAGTCCAGCGCGAAGTTCCTGGTTTACCCGTCGCGCTGGCCCACTGGTTACAATGATCGGCTGCTGACCTGAAAGCCACGGGCTCGATTCCCTCTGTGGTGGTCGCAGTCCTGATGGAGGCGACATGCTGCTTATCCCTTGTCAGGGTACCTAAAAGAACTTAAGGTAGTCAAAATAATACAAAGCTCTATACTATGGCATTTATCATACTCTGAGTCGCTTTGGGACATTAAACCCCCAAAACTACCGACAAATATGAATTGCTTTATACTACCCATCTACGTTGTGATATAAAAACGATGTCATACATAAATGATGCCGGCCTGTACGCTGGCACAGCAATCACCAACTCAAATATTGTGACAAGATCTGCGTGATTCACTCTCTGGAATCGCGGCTTTCCGAGCACGTTCAAAGAAAAACAACACTGAAAGAGAAATGCAAAAAAGCGCTTGGAAAATACAATTCAGCTTTATATTTTACGTGTGCGCATAGCTTGAAAGGACTGAATGTCATCCCTTACTTCTCTATTCATGGTAATCAATTCAGCGCAAAACACGCTGGGGCCAAGAAAAGAGAAACGCACGATATACCGTGTTTACAAGTTTTTTGTTTCTTTTACTTCATGTCATCTCTTCTTAGACCGCGCGCGCGCTTCCCGCTAAATTATTTACAATGAATATATTCGTTCTCCCCCGCTATATACATTGATGTTACTTCTTCCAGTTGCCAGAGAGAGCAGTCACGGGGTTCAATCATGTTTCTTTTTTATTTTTTTCATGTGTTTTTTGGTATGCACAGCTTGTTCAGCGGCCTTCCAGTTGCCAGAGAGAGCAGTCACGGGGTGCATTCATGTTTCTTTTTTATTTTTTCATGTGTTTTTTGGTATGAACAGCTTGTTCAGCGGCAAGCGTAAAGTAAAGCAAGTGTACAGGTGCATGGCCGACTGTCAGAAGCATTTCACCAACTATAGGAGAAAGACGACGGGATGGCCATTGTATTGTTTATTTAATCTGTCAAGCAGACGCCACGTCAAACGTCACATGCACGGAATAAGCTGACAACAGACTAGCTCGCACGAATCGCTATTATTCGGCGCTGACCGTGCACTGCCCGCGGCAGTTTCGGAGCACAATATTTCGCGCGTTCGGGGAGACTCTAGTGAATAATAGGTAGCCCTCACAGTCAAAAAACTGCGTTCAAAAATAGCCCGTCCCGCGCACGCCGCCATGACATCAAAACTTCGATACGCTTTCTTCAAACGATGCGGAACGCGTCCTGCCATTGTTGTGACGAACTACGTCTCGCTGCCGTCCCGCAGAGAAAAAGCTTTTGTGCGAGAGCAGACAAGCAGGACGAACAGACAGGCGTATACATGCACGTCGAATGTTGCGGACTGTGTAATGGCCGTTCTCGTTGCTAAGCGAGCGTAAAGAGCAGAGAGCGAAAATCAAACAGCGAGATGAAACAAACGCAGATGAGGAGGAGGAGGAGGAGGAGGAGAAGGAGGGGAGAAGGAGGAGGAAAAAGAGAATGGTACTCACCTAACGTTCTCGTGCCGGTGTATGTAGATCTTGTGGAACATGGAGTCCTGCGGTTTCTTCGCGATGTCCGCCTTCATCTCCATGGCCACGTGACGTGGGAGTACGGAGAGCAACAGTTGCTCCTGAAAGCGACAGATGCAGAGTGAAAATATTTCAGGAGCTCTTCCCCTCTCGAAAAAAAAAAATGGAGAAGAATAAGGCTTGGCGGGCTCCCCTTATAATTTGGCACCCCAAAAATTACCGAAAGCCCGATACATCTATTCTACTTTCCGCAATATGAGCCATGCTGACGATATTGGTATTATTGATACACTTAGCACTTCTTTTGCCCAGTTTGAAGCGATTAGTATTTCTGAAGATGTTGATACTTTAACAAAATTTTTCAGTGATCTTGTTTCAAAGTGCATTATGCGTTTTGTACCGTTAAAAACAAAAAAGACGAATTCAGAGTTGCCTTGGATCACACAGGAAATTTTGCACCTGTCGCACCAACTTGGGCGTTTGTGGCGTGCTAAACGCACTGGTGATGTTATTCTTGCCACACAATTCATTGCTCTGAAGGAGGAACTTCGAAGCAAAACAAATGCGGCTCGTGATTTTTACTATCGAGTTACACTCCCCGGTTTGCTTAGAAATAATCCACGTAAATTTTGGAAATCTGTCCTACCAATGAATTCTCACACTGACACATTTGAAATAAATGGCACAGTTACAGGCGATACAGCTCTTATTGCAGATGCATTCAATGATTACTTTCAATCTGTTTTTACACATGATAACTCCGTTGTTCCTCCTTTTATAGGGCATACTCGCAGTTCTATTGACGATGTTGTTGTTTCGAACCAGGATGTGCTGAATCTCATTTTAAAACTCGATCCGAAGAAGAAAGCTAGTCCTGATAATATAGACAACGAATTCCTCATTACGTACTCCTTATGGACTAGTCGGTATTTAACCATTATCTTTCAGAAATCTCTCTCGACGTCTGTTGTCCCTAAAACGTGGAAATCATCTAAAATTCTTCCGTTATACAAATCCGGAAAAAAAAACAGTCCTTATTGAACTACAGACCCATCTCTATCACATCCCATTCTTGTAAAATACTCGAACACATAATTTTCAAGCAAATCATAGAATTTTTAGAGTGCACTAATGTTTTATCTGATGCCCAGCATGGTTTTCGACGCGGCTTTAGTACCATAACCCAGCTCAGTGAATTCGCTCATGACATCCTCCAGGTTCTTGATGCTGGTGATCAAATTGACGCAATATTCATAGACTTTTCCAAAGCTTTCGACACTGTTTCACATTGCAAACTGCTAAAAAAGCTCACTGCTATTCTTAAAAACGAAGCATTAGTAAACTGGATTTCTTCTTTCCTATCCAATAGGTCTCAGTACGTACAATTCAAGTCTTCTCATTCCTCCACTTCCACTGTAACGTCTGGCGTCCCTCAAGGTTCAATATTAGGCCCTCTTTTATTTATAATTTTTATTAACGATCTGCCAAGTAATGTTCCTGTTAAAATCCGCATGTATGCTGATGATTGTGTTTTGTATCATACGATTAAAACTGCTCATGATCACATCATCCTTAACGATTCATTTGCTTTATTTCAATCATGGTGTGGCACTTGGCAAATGCAAATCAACTTCCGAAAAACGGTATCCGTGTCATTTTCCAAGCGTTCTTCCCCCTCTCCATTTACCTATTCGCATAATGGTTGCCCTCTCGGAATAGTTTCACAATACAAATACCTAGGTCTCCTTTTCACTCAGGATTTATCTTGGTCTCAACACATCGATCGCATGTGCAACCGTGCGCTTAAAAAATTAGGCTACCTACAACGCACTTTACGTTCAGCGCCTCTCAGCATACGGCTCCTCACTTATAAAACACTGGTTCGTCCAATATTGGAATATGCATTTGTTGTGTGGAACCCACACAAAATTTCGGACATCAACAGAATAGAATATGTTCAGAAGAAAGCTGTACGCTTCATTTATCGTCGCTTTGACATGTATTTTTCTCCAAGTTCCCATCTTCCTATCTTACAGCTTACCAGTCTATCTTCCCGTCGACACGTTGAATGTTTGAAGTTTCTTTATACGTTAATTAATTCCCCACGGTTTCCTTTACTCAGCAAATATATAGCACACGCTAGACCAACGATCACCCGAAATTACCATGAGTTAAACATGTCTACCTTTGCTCATCGTACGATGGCGTTTAAATATAGTTTTTTTGTTCATTCTATTGAATTGTGGAATTCTTTGCCTGGTTACGTTCGATCTTTATCACTGAATGAATATTTATTGTATATTACTGACCATTGATGTAGAGCGCACTTGTTATGCTCTTCTATGTATGTATTTGCCTACTCCTGCGATAGCCCTGCGGGGCTGCAGTATGTTGAAATAAATAAATAAAATAAATGAGGGGAGCCCACCGCCCTTCTAGCAGCCCCCCCACGCGCTGCGACTATGACGTTAATCACTGCAAACACACACACATCCAAGTGCAAGTGGCACCACATTTTCGTCAAATTCTGCTAGTGACCCAAATAGTATGCAGTGCGTCACTGTTTTTTTTCCTTTATTCACTGGAATCAAATCACAGAAAAGCAGAAGCCATGCTTAGAATTTCCGCTGAACGATCAAGTTCGGCGAACAGAGAAACGCAGTCAGCATGTTTCAGACAGTTTCGTCCTTCCTCCCATCTCAAATTCACTGGCCTACTTCGTGCGGGTCGACTTTCAAGCAAAAGAGCTCCAAGAAAAAAAAGACAATCGGCGGTGCGACTTGCCCTGACAGATGACAGCGTCATTACGAGGAGCTCGAACCTCGCTGTAGTCTTCATCTAATCTTTCAGATTCAGCTTACGACTACACGCAGTTCGAGCAGTCCTAGATTATCAATATCTTGGCAAGGCCGAAAACAGCCTCGACCGCAGAGAACTTAAGCTAGAAGAGTTTCACTTTCGGCCGAAAGAAAACCCTCCGAGCACACGAGGAACATCAGATAATGAGAGCACATCTGTCGCTCTCTCGGATCGAATAATGTATGAATATTACTTTTTTTTCTTCTTTTCCAGGTTCATTTCAAACGGTTGACTTTCTTTGTCGCAGCGCTAACTGGAAGGTTGTTTGGGGTTCTTCAGTGCTTGCTTTGGCGACTCGACGGTGCAAGTGAATACAACACGAAACAAACCGAATCTGACCTGGCACGTCCGCAACGAGTGCCAAGCGCTTTGCATTTTATACGCTACACTCGCTCTCAGCGCCATCGGAGGAGGACATTAAGAAATATGGCTGTACTGTTTTGTCTATTCTCGCGTGGTGTTTGCATTCGATTGTTCGTTGACATGGCTGTTACGAAACAAGCATGATTCCCGAGAGAAACAAAGAACGTGGTGATAAAAACAAGCAAAAGACGTTCGTCGGAACATGCATTTCACTCGCGTTGTGTTTCTGTGCCGCCCAGAGAATGGCAGAAAAAGAAGCGAGGGCAACGAGCATAACAGATGAAACACACACGAGTATCGCAGATGGACTTTTCCGGCAATCTGTACAAGTAGACGGGCACGACGGATGACGCTTCGAGCCGGTTTATTGCACGCTTACGATGACTCCTTGCGCAATCCGATCTTCCTTTATTAGACCAGTCTTGGCGAATGCGCAATAACGTTTGTGGACGCCAAAACCATTTCAGCATGTGGAGATGTAATGACTTTAGTCGTTGAGAGAGTCTCTTCCGTGCGGGCTTCGCGGGCTATGAAAGTGTCTCTTTTTTGCTTCTCTCGTTTCAGAAACAACCTTGTCTTTCTTTTTATACTTGATTGCGAGTATTTATTTCCTTGGTAGTTTTTTTGCAACGTCACAGCACTGCTTGGCAATCGACGTCAACTTTTGATTTCTTTTTTTTTACTTTTACTTCCTTCGCACGAGCGAGTTAAAGGCTAAAGAAAGAACCACCGGAGTGTATAAACTAAAGCACACAAGACTGCGACGCTTATGTAAAGGGGTCGTGACGTCAGATGTCTGACGACAGTTACTCATTTTCCTTCTGTAAACATGTCCGCCCAGATACCGCAAAAAATCGCACTAATAAAATTCTAAAATCTCGCACAGCATGCGCTCAACGGGGACTTCGTCTCTGAGCACCGAGGGCTAAATCAGATTTCGCCGCGCGAGATTCGTCTCCAGTTCTGCAATCTTTAGCGGCTCGAAGTGCTCGCAAATTTAAATTTAATTTCGAATTCAAATTTTTTTTTCATTTTACCAAAATCTATTGAGATGAACTATTTGGGCCCTTAGCCAAATGTTATTACTGAACCCAATATTGAGACGCGCGTGCACTCCTATTTCGCTCCTGCACATATTCTTCCATCACTGAAGAGGTCACGAAACCGTCTCTTATGATAGACAACCTAGGAAAAGGTGATTCATTTCTGATACGAACATGCAATATTCAGATGCGAGTTGGAAAAGCACCACCGTTCTGCCCAAAACTATATCGCAATGAAGCCCGCACTTTTTCCCTTGACACCGCGAGTGCATAGTTGTGTAATTACCTTCATATCGCGCGAGTGCACAGTTCTTCGTAGGCATATCGTCATTATTTTTTTCTCTCACTCTCTCTCTCTCTCCATCTTCTTGCCCCACTTCTTTTGCCATGTACAGAGCAGCATGCGGGTGATCGCATTCCTCCAGTAGATCCCACTGCATTTCTCGCATCGAAGTGTTCTCTCGCTTGCGACCCATAAGTTCTATACAACCTTAAAGGGACACTCAAGAGGAGAACGATTTTTTTGATATTATAGTAAATTACTCGTTCACAATTACAATATCACAATTTCCTCCAACCAGAAGACGATTGGTTAACCATAAAACGCGCTATAAAAGGAAACGCCAGTGGCGACGCAACCTCCATATTCCAACCACATTTTGACGGCGTCCGCTAGTCACTAAAACTTCACCGTCCTTTGATGGAGCCACAATGTGCCGAATTTTGAGAAATTTCTCGGAGCCAATGTAAAAAAAAAATATAGGACACGCTTCAAATTCATGACATCACGTGTGGCAATTCCGGCGTGAAATTTAGAAATGAATCTTCGAGCTCGA